AGAGAAGAGTGGAACTGAAGAAGATGTTCAGGACAGTGGCTGCAGGTGTGGCCCAGTTCCATCGCACATATTGCGCTGCATTTGGATTTGCTGCTTTGAAGTAAGGCTGCAAAAAGCACGTCTGCTGTTTGCAGTTTGGGTCGAGACCAAAGACGTTAAATAGGCTCACTTCTGATGCACATGAGGCTCGCCGCCCTCCTATTGTAATGCTCTTGATAAGTTTGTTGCGGCTAAATGCTGGCATGCTGATGCGAGGATTTTGCGGCAGGTACTGTTACTTTCAGCTTGTAGCTTCAACTGTTTCGATTGCTTGCTGTACGTGCGCGGTGCTTTGCTCCTGGAAGCTCCACTTGCAGGAGCTCTTTTCCTACAGAATCGTAGGAAGCCTCGAAGGGCCTCCCCTGTGTGGGAAAGATCTTGTACGAACAAGAACAGAAGCACTTGTCTTGAAATGGCAGCCGATGGCAAGTTTGCCAGAAATAACTCACATGTCACAGCATGTTGGCTTTCTTGGACGTTGATCCAAACAGCATGCGGAAGGATTTTTATTTTCCGTGCAGTTTTCCAGCTGAAACGGGTTCCAAAAAGCAGCTCTAGTCCGGGCACCGACACGGGCCCCAGATTTTGGCTTTCTTCGTTGGACATACAAGCTCACGCAATTCGGGGCCCCAAATTAGAGCTCAGATTTGGGAGCCATTTCTGGGGCCCAGTCATACCGTTTTTCGTCGAGCAGATGCCACCTCTGCGTCCACAGCTGGCCGTTGCGTGCAACCGTATATAAACCTCGCCAGCTCTGTTTTGCATTTTGCCGGTGTTCCTTCAAAATTCGAAATAACAAGGGGAGCGCTCGGAAACATGTGAACCTTGCAAACAGAACTTTCTCACACAGAGGAGGCCCTTCCAAGCATCCTAAAGAACAGCTTCCGGAATTGGCTCCGCAATTCGATCGCTCTTTTGGCCCAAGTGTTGCAACCATGTCCGACATGAAAGCACCTCCTGTTCCTCCTCCTCAAAGAGTGGAGTTGCCGCAGGAGTGTAGAACGTCCTTCGTAAATGAATGTCCTTCCTCGTCTGGCCTGTTGCTACGAGACTTTGTGGCCCGCCTGCGACAGGAGAGGTGGAAGTGCGCAGAGTCGCGAAGATCCTTAAAGCAGAGCAACTGAGAGTGATCAGCGGTCAGTGAGCAGTGACTAAGCTCTGCCAGCTTTTAGTACGTGAGGCAGTGAGTGTGAGTGAGTGAGCTTTGCTGTGACGAACGGTTGCCTGCAGCGTGTATTCTTCGGTGTCGGGTGAGCAGTGAGCTTCGCTCTTTCTTTTCCAAGGGAATGAATGTTTACGGCTTTGAGCCCGGCACTGATCAGCGGTGCGAGCCCTGCCGAAGCAGTGGGTGAGAGAGCCTTGCTGTGACGCGAACTGTTGCACTGTTGCGTGAGCAGCTAGTAACTTCTTCGTTTTCGGTTGAGCGTGAGCTTTGCTGTGACCCGAACTGTTGCGTCAGTTACTAAACTTTTCGGTTCAGCAGTGTGCAAGCCTTGTCTGAGGCAGGGCACGCATGTTTTACGAGCGTTGAGCCCGGCACTAAAAGCGATGACGCTGCGGAGTGGGGTTTGCCTTCTGGCAATGAGGTCTGCCATCTGAGCCAGTGCATGTATGAGCGTTGCCCAAACTGTTGCCTGAGCAGCTGGTAAACTTTTCGGGCTAGTCAGTGACGAAGCCGTGCTTTGACGTAATCTCAGCCTTCTGTTTCTAAAGGCCACCAAAACGTGGTTGCGTTGCGGTGTAGGGTTTAGGACGAGTAAGTGAGCCTTGCTGTAGTCCATGTGGGCAGCCAAAACTCTTTGTTGACATCTAGAAGGTTTTTCCGAATGCACGAATGTGAGCCCGTCATATCATGCTCATTCGCAAGTGCTTCTGAAATGTTGAGCCTGTTGCAAGGTCGAAGCTGAGCGCCGTAGTCTTTTACATAGAGCAACGCGCAGCATGGGAAATCTGGATCCGAAATTGTCCGCTAGCAGAAAGCTCGGACAGGCAGACTCTACTGATCCGCCGCAGTTTGATTCGAGATTGTATGCTGCAGGGTGTGAGGATACAGGCGAGGGAACCTGAACGAGCCCAGCGGTGGCGGGCAAATGATTTCACCCTTAGGACAAAGCCGGTGGTATAATACTCAGCTGCCAACTGAGTTTGATTGACTCCGGCATGTCTGGGACCTTCCACCGTTCTAATAGTGTTATACTACCCAAAGGGTGTGTAAGTGGGTTCCCTTGGTTTTTGCAGCAGATGGGGTGGGTTCCCTGTGGGTTCCCTTGTTTTTTGCAACACTTCAGGTGGGCTACATATGGGTTCCTTTGTTTTTTGCAGCATTTCGGGTGGGTCTGTGTATGTTCTTCATTGATTCTTCACTTAGCTTTCTTGTAGATTGCCATGGTTTTTGCAGCATGGACGGTGGGTTCCCTGTGGGTTCCCTGTGGGTTCCCTGGTTTTTGCAGCATTTTTTAAGTGGTTCCCATGGTTTTTAACAATATCGACGGTGGGTTCCCTGTGGGTTCCTTTGTTTTTTTTGCAACACTTCAAGTGGGCTACATATGGGTTCCTTTGTTTTTTGCAGCATTTCGGGTGGGTCTGTGTATGTTCTTCATTGATTCTTCACTTAGCTTTCTTGTAGATTGCCATGGTTTTTGCAGCATGGACGGTGGGTTCCCTGTGGGTTCCCTGTGGGTTCCCTGTGGGTTCCCTGTGGGTTCCCTGCAGCATTTTTAAGTGGGTTCCCATGGTTTTTAACAGCATCGACGGTGGGGTTTGTTGGGTTCCCTGGTTTTTTGCAGCATTTGAAGTGGGTTCCCATGGTTTTCCAGTATACGTCGCTCAAAGGTCTTGGCGGGCTCCCTTGGCTTTTGCAGCATGTCAGCTGGGTTCCCTGTGGGTTCCCTAGTTTTTTGCAGCATTTTTAATGGGTTCCACATGGTTTAACAGCATCGACGGTGGGTTCCCTGTGGGTTCCTTGCTTTTTGCAGCATTGCAAGTGGGCTATATTGCGCAAAGGTCTGGGCGGGCTCCCTTGGCTCTTGCAGTGTGTCAGCTCGGTTCCCTGTGGGGTACATGTGGGTTCCCATGGTTTCTCCAGCTCGCGCATTATGTTTCAGAGAAGAGTGGAACTGAAGAAGATGTTCAGGACAGTGGCTGCAGGTGTGGCCCAGTTCCATCGCACATATTGCGCTGCATTTGGATTTGCTGCTTTGAAGTAAGGCTGCAAAAGCACGTCTGCTGTTTGCAGTTTGGGTCGAGACCAAAGACGTTAAATAGGCTCACCTCTGATGCACATGAGGCTCGCCGCCCTCCTATTGTAATGCTCTTGATAAGTTTGCTGCGGCTAAATGCCACGCTGATGCGAGGATTTTGCGGCAGGGACTGGCAGATGTTATCTCAGATTGTATTAATGTTTCACAAGCTGAGGAGCTCTTTTTTCCTACAGAATCGTAGGAAGCCCAAAGGCCCTCCCCCAACTCCCGACCCTACCATAATTCCCATAGTTAAGGGCCCCTAAGGTAATGCAGGATTTATATCATCAACCGTGCGTCTAGACCCCTACAGTTCTCGGCGAGGCTTCTGGCGGACATGAAGTTTGACAAAGACGGCTATGGGGGTACCTTAATGCGTCCTACAGTTTTCGTGGTTTTTCGAACTGAAAATGGCCTCGCGCGATAGTCAATTTTGGAATTGTTTGTCCACAAATCTTGAAACCTTCCAGACCCCCCGCTCCCCCCAAATTCAATGTTTACATAGAAGCGCCCAATGAGCATTGCGGCACACATTGCGGCACACATTGAAATTGAGGGGGCGGGGGGGAGGTTTCTGAATATGCAAACAAGAAGACTGTCAATGACTGACTCTGCTGCACTCGATAAAAACCATAACTCCTTCATAAAGTCTTGTTAAAGATCCTCCCCGAAGTCCTGCCTGATCTTTCCTTAAAACCTTCGCATGGCCAAGACCCCCGTAAACTTCTTGATGAGTGCTAGCGACACCGAGATGGAATGCCTCGGGTTGGTCGATATCCGTGTGAAGTTTGGGAGGCTAGGGCCTGTGGTGCTTCAGAAGGTCCTGGTTTGTCAGATTGGTTTCAATGTGATCAGTTCTTGGCAGGCGTCGCTTTCGGGTTGGTGTTCTTGGTTCACTGCCACACCCGGAGAGAGAGCTAAGGCGAAAGCGAAGTCCAAAGCAGGAGTGCCCAAAGGTACCCCACCGAAGTTTGGGAAAGAAGACGACGACACGGGAGATGCAATGGAAGTGGACCGCGCCAAGGAAAGGCGCATCCGAACAAGCATCCGCAGAGAGCTTTGGAAGTGACTCCTTTCAAGTTCTTGTTGCGAGCCTTTTGCAGTGAGTTTTCGTGCGAGTGTGTTTCTGCAGCAGAAGTAGCAGCTGAGACTGAGGTAGTGCCTGCAGTTTGTTCTGAAGAGCTGTGTGCGGGTTGTGTGGTAGGTTCTGAAGTCTGTGTTTCGTCCGCAGCCGTTTCGCTTAAGCAAGCAAGCACCACACACACCGAAGCATGCCGTAGGAGCGGTGGGAGTGCGAGTGCATGTGTGAGTGTAGAGCCTTTGCCGCCAACGCCTCAGAGTACTGTGAGAGCCTGTGGTTCGGAAGCTGCTTCAGTGAAGGTTTGCGCAGGGTTTTCGGAAACTGCCGGTGGGAGTGAGTGCGCAGGGTTTTCGGAAACTGCCTGTAGGAGTGAGTGCGCAGGGTTTTCGGAGACTGCCTGTAGGAGTGAGTGTGCAGGGTTTTCGGAAGCTGCCTGTCGTCCGGAGTGTGCAAGTGCAGGTGCATTAGGGACACGTAAAAGCAAGCAGAAACGTATCTCTTCTGCCGCGGTTCTGTCTCGAGCCTTGCGGTGGGTGATTTTTCTCTATGGAGTCATCTCCGTTACGACGGGGACTGTGTGTCAAGAAGAGGGCCCTTTTGCTCCAGATGCCGCCGGAAGGGGCAGGAGAAGGCCGGCCCAGATGATGGTTATGTCCGAGAGATGGCAAGATCTCAGAGCGATGCAGACAGCGGCATCCAGCAGGCGACAGTCCTTGGTGCAGAAGCTGCAGCTGAGTCGCAGCGTAGAGCAGAGGCGAGAGGCCGAAGAACTAGTGGCAATGAACAGATGCGATTCGAAGGAATTGCTCCACCGAGGATTCCACTCCCTAACTTCTCCGGCCTTGCCTTCTGGAGAACCTCCCGCTCCCACTCAGGAGGGCAACGAGGCCGACGATTGGGGGAAATGGAAGGCGGTGCCAGGCCCTCCTGCGAGCCCGCCTCCACCGGGGACGCCTGTGGTGCCGCCTGGACCCCCGGAGACGCCGCCCGAGACACCACCGGAGACTCCTCGGGAGAAGAAGAAGAAGGACAAGAAGAAGGAGAAGAAGAAAGGCTCCAAGGAGCGCCGTGCACGAGAAAAGGACCAGGTCGCCGAGGACAAGAAGGACCACAACGAGGGCGAGAGAGACAAGGCCGCCGAAGGAGTGGCTTTGCTGAGGGAGCAAGAGCTCAAGATGGTTGCCGCCAGCAAGAACTTGGCGGAGAAGGAGCGAGCGTCGGCAGCGGCGAAGGCAGCCGCCAATGTGGCTGTCGAGAAGTGGACGCCCCAACAGAGGGCACGCAAGGAGGCAGAGCTCCAAGCAGCCCTGCTTGCTCAGGAGCAAGCCGCTGCTACAGTTCGTTTGCTTACTTTGGAGTTACAACTTGGGGATGCCCTTGGTGCCCCCGAGAGTTCAGCGGCCCCCGAGGGAGCCGTAGAGTCTGGGACTCCTCCGGAGTTACCAGCCAGCAGGCGGATCAGCCTGTCGTCTTCGAGTGTGGAAGCTATCACTCCTCCAGGAACGCCTCCGACAACGCCGGTGTCGCCCGGATCTGCGGTTCCAAAGACACCCCAACGATCACCTTTGGTGAAAGCGATGCCCAAGGTTCCGGAGAGCCCTGCTTCTCAAGCTGCTGTGAGCCTTGTTGCTCCAGCTGCTGCGGGGCCTGTTGCTCAAGCTGCTGCGAGGCCTGCGGTTCGAGTTGCTTTGAGGCCGGCGGTCCGAGCTGTTCAAGTGAAGGCGATGCCCAAGGTGGGGCAGGTGCCGGATGTTGGGCACATGGGACCTCCAGCGCCGCCGATGGTTGGGCCAATGGGCCCTGTACCACAAGCACCGCAGGTTGTTGGGAAGATGCACATGTTCCCACCGGCGCCGCCCTTCTTGGGGTACATGGGACCAGTGCCTCCAGCACCACCGCCAGGATACCGAGGTATTAATCCGTGGTCCACCGGGCCGTTGCGCCAGGTGTTTGGAGCTGTGGGCCAGCATGTGACGCCCATCACTCCGAGTGTGTCGGTTGTGCCTCAAACTCCACCGCCCCGCCCTACAGTGAGACCTTCAGCCAGGCCGTCAAAAGCACCACGGCCAACAGCAAGGGCAACTCTAGCCCCTACGCCAAAGAAGAGAGATCGATCACCTTCGATCTGAGGCGGTGTGTTTCTTCTGAGGTTTTGGCCTCAACCTTAGGTTCGAGGCCCGTCATCCTCAAAGTGAGCTCTTCGGTGTCTTCCCCGAAAAAGGTGCAAGAGTGCGGTGCCAAAGTGGTAGGCAGTCTAGAGTGCAGTGCCGAAGCTGTAGAACGTCTAGAGTGCAGTGCCGAAGCGGTAGGTTGTCGTGAGTGCAGTGCTTTAGGAGAAGGTAACCTCGAGTGTGGTGCGGTAGGTGCGTGTTGCTTGAGTGTTCCCGAAGCTACGCCCTACCCGAATGGATCCACAAAGTGTCTCGCTCTGCCCAGGTGTTCCTTAGAAAGATCGTGTGCCGCAGCCTTGTTCAGGGTTATTTCAAAGGTTGCGGGGTTTCGCTTTTGCGTGCTGCTGGCAGTCTGTGCTGTAGCTGTGGTAGTGCGTCGAAGCGGGGGTCGTAGGAAGCTGCGGTTCGGAAGCCGTAGGAGACACAAGTGGGTGCGAGTAACTTTGAAAGGTCGGAATCCCCGTCGGTGTTTCCCCTGGAGAGTCCAACGGCCGATGATGAGAAGGTTGTTGTGCTTGGTCCGCAAAGTGCTTAAGAAAGTTGCTGCCTTGCGTGGGCAGCACAATGAAGAAGCACCGCGGATTCCTGAGGCCCCACATGTTGTGCTTGAGGATGTTGTGTCCGAGCGTGTTGTGCATAGGGCGCGTATGCTTGCAGGCCTGCCGGTTGAGATCACTGTTGATTCTGAAGAAGAGTTGTTGCCAGACCCCGACCCGAAGCCTCAACCTCCCGGCCCTCCTGACCCCGAACCTCGTCCCGAGCCGTCTGGTTCAGGTTTGTCTCCTCCTGAAGACCTTGAGGTTCCAGTATACATTACTTCAGAGCGTTTGCGAGCGCACCGGAACAAAGGGCATCAGCCCTATCTGAGTTTCTGTGATGTGTGCCAGTCGGCACGTGGTCGTGTGCCAGCACGACGCAAGAACATGAAGAGCCACTATGCGCCGGGAGAGCTTCAAGTAGATTTTGGCTTCTTCGGTCGAAATGTTCGGTTTCTATTGATCGTTCACGTCCTGTCGGGATACTTGAGTACTGTTGTTTTGGGTCCTGAGGACCCGGTGCCTGTACCAGCCGTTTGCAAGGCTCTTTCTGAGATGGGCCTCAACGGGCTGGACATTGTGGTCCACGGTGACCAAGAAAACCTCCTGGAGAGTGTGTTCCGGGATTCTGCGAAGCATAGGACGTTTGTAGGACGGTCCATGCATTGGGTTCCGTTTGCAGTGAACAGGCCCCAGGCAAAAGGCATTGTTGAGCGTAACGTTTGCCTCGTGAAAGAAGCGTTTTGGTCTGTTTGGCTAGGACTGGAAGAGCGTGTAGGAGGGCAGCTGCCGTTAGGGAGCTACTTGTTTATTGAAGCCATGCGATATGCTGTTAGGATGCATAACTTGTTTCATGTGTCCAAGGAGCAAAGCACGCCTCTGGAACGCCTCAGGGGCTCTACAGTCCAAGCTGTGAAGAGTTGTGAGTTTGGGGTGGTAGGCTTTGGAAAGCCACAAAAGGACTATCCGGAGCATCGAGGAAAGCGCCTAGTGAGGGCGATTTACGTTGGGCCCCATGGCGCCAACGGCTCTGGGATACGTGTCTTTGTTCCCTTAGGAGATGGGAAGCCGCCTCGTTTGGAGATTTTCAGCTCGTTTCGTGCCCGGGACCCGGTAGAGTTTGACAAAGCAGTGCTAGACCAACTGAAAGGAAACCGGGAGGACCCCGAGCGACCCATCAAGTTTGATGTGCCTCTGGATGCACCTCAGCCTCCTCCTGACCCTCCGGCGTTGCCTGATGGTAGTCTCGAGTTCCCTGTGGGACAATCAGAAGAGCCTGGAGCTCCTGATCCGATGGAGGATGAGGATCTAGCAGACTACTCACCTTCTCTTCCTGGTGATGGTGATGGTGAAGGGATGGATGTTGAACCTCCTCCTGGTGGCGTCCTTGATGAGGATGATGTTGAGATGAGTGATGGTGAAGATAACATCATGGAAGATGGTCTTACTTGGCTCTATGAGTATGGTCTTCGCCAGCTCTACGATGGGCCGGACCTTCGTGTGACCCAGAAGCTGAGGAGGGGAGATAATCCTGCTGAGTGGTTTAGCATGAAGTTTGGAGGTAGAAAGATCTGGGTACATGTCCCAGATAACGCGGTTTGTGAGGTTTCAGGGAAGGTTCTCGCGAGGAAACATCTCGAAGAAGGGATGAAGCTTGAGCTGTCGGAGTTAGATGCCTTTGGTGTGGCAACCGTGATTGGAGAAGCTGAGGCCCGGAAGAAGGCCGTGCGAAGGATCCACACCACTCGTTGGGTTCTAACTTCCAAACCCTCTGTGACAAACCCTGACCGTGTGAGAGCGCGTTTGGTTGTGCGTGACTATGCGCTTGGATCCAGCCCCTTGGCTGATGGGATATATTCCCCAACGACCTCCTTGGAAGCTTTGCGAGGTGTCCTTGCTGTACACGCGGTTCGTGGAGGAACGCTGTTGTCTGCCGATGTTTCGGTAGCCTTCATGCAGGCGCCTGTCCAAGGTGTTGAGTGCATCCGTTTTCCGAACGGGATGTATGACGATCAGGGCAATCCGCTTTTTGCTCAGTTGCACAAAGCCATGAATGGCTTGCGGGTTGGGCCGTTGAGTTGGTACTTGGAGTTCACCAACACGTTGCGTGGGCAGTTTGGGTTTGGAGAAACTGCGGACCCTACTGTGCACCACCGTCTCGAGAAGGACGGTTCTTTGACCTTGGTGCTGGTGTATGTTGATGACTTGATCATCTTCTCCCAGAACTCAAAGATTGCAAAGGAGCTGTATGCTCAGTTGGCCAAGATTTACAAAATGAAGCAGACTGGGATCTTGGAGCCTGGAAAGAAAGGGCAACTTGAGTTTCTAGGAAGAATTATCGTCCGTGTGACGGACGCTGGACCTGTGTTGTTCGGCTTGAAACCGGGCTACTTGAAGTCGCTTGGTGAAGAGTTTGGGATCAGCGGAAAAGGTGTGAAGCCTGTTTTGGGAAACCTTGAGAGGGAGTACCGGAAGAAGGAACCTGGAGGTTCAATAAGCACTGAGTCGTACGAAAGGTATCGACGTGTGCTTGGGAAGCTCATGTGGGCCAGTCTCACGCTTCCTCACCTAGCTTATCCTGTTGGGTTTCTAGGTCGTTTTCAGAGTGATCCTGACAGCCAAGCCGAAGCCTGTTTAAGAAGAGTTGTGCGTTGGGTGATGGCGTTGCCTGAGTACCTTCAGCGCTTCTCTGCGTTTGGCTGGGTCGACCAGAGTTTTGAGTCGGAGACCTTGCTTTCGGGGTATGTGGATGCCTCGTGGAACGTGTGTTCAGTGTCTGGTGCCATTGTCCTTTGGCATGGCATGATGATCAAGTGCTTCTCAAGGAAGCAGTCAGTGACTGCCTTAAGCTCAGCTGAAGCAGAGCTGGCCGCGCTTACTGAAGCTGCCAAGGAAGCTGTGTACCTGTCCCTGCTGTTGGAAACGCTCCTTCAAGGCCTGCCTGCCGGTGACACGGGATCGTATCCCATTTACCTGTCGTCTGACAGTGAAGCGGCATTGTCTATTTCGAAGATGAAAGGCCTGCTGCGTCGAGTGCGGCATTTGGAGCTGAGGCATCGGTACTTGCAAGAGCTTGTTCAAAGTGAGAGACTGCGTCTCACATTCATCCAAGGATGCCTGAATCCGAGCGACGGACTCACAAAGAGTCCTGAAGAAGCTATGCTCCAGCATCTGCTGGAGGCTTGTGGACTTGAGCGGATCTGTGAGGAAGACTTGCAGACACTGTGTGTCCCTGAACCACTTCGAGAGAGAGTGGAGGAACTTGAGAACCTCCACGAGAAGCTTGAAGAGCTTCCGGAGAACTTACTGAAGTATCGTCCAGTAGCCGTTGATTTGGCTATGGGGGTTGTTCCTTTGCTGGTGGTTGAGCTGTTCTGTGCCCGTGATAGTGCGTTGTGTGCAGCGTGCAAGCGTGAGAGCGTTGCTTACATTGGCATCACTCAGGAAGAAGACTTCTTGAGTAAGAACACACAGTTGTTTTTAGGAGAAGTTCTGCTCTGTCTGTTGAAACGAAATCCGCCCAAGATCTATATCCATGTAGCGTCGCCGTGTACTGCAGGTTGTAGTTTTCGGTTTAAGAACTGGCACAAACCGAAGTTTCGCCATCGCTGGCGTGAGCAGATGAAGAAGCATGTTGCTTCGTGGAAAACGCTAGGAAAGCTGTTGCAGAACCACTGCCAGGACGTCCTGCTGACTCAGGAGTGGCCAAAGACCTGTGGACTTTGGAAGGAAGAAACGTACCAAAGAGTGAAGAAGTCCCTTGGCCTATCCTTTGGACGAGAAGTAGACCGATGTGCTTTTGATTTGGTCTATAAGAGATGGTGGTTTGCCTGCAACTGTTCGGAGTGGTGTGAAATCTTCTCCGGGAAATCTTGTGACAAGAATCATGTGCATGTTGCTCCTGAAAGTCTTGAGGCAACCGGTTACTACCCCACCAAGCTAGGTAGGGCTCTTTTGCGTGCTGCTAAGCGAGTCTTGAAAGTAGCCGTAGAAGGGACTGCCGTGCGGACGTGTGCCGAGGATGACGAACAGAGCACTTAGCCTAAAGAGCTGTGCTTACACTGTTGCGCTGAGGCATTACAGTCCAAGCGGGGGTGTGAAAGTTCATGTTTAAGACATGTTACTTTGGTTGTCCTGCATGCCTGCTCAGGTGTGAGTCGTTTTAGCTGAAAGTTTTGCCTTGGAGGCTTGACTGACGAGCTTGCTTTCAGTGGAAAGCCTTTTGAAGTGCTTGAGAGTGTAGGGAAGTGTTTTTCCTTGGTGTAACTACGTTTGGAGTGACTGTGTAGCTGTAGTTCTGCTTGCACTAGTTTTGAGTAGGTCCCGAGAACTCCCACTGACGTTTGAGTTTGTTTTGCAGTTGTGGAGAACACGTGGCTGAGCAGTGTTTCACTTGCAGTGCTATGGCACATGGAATATCTGTGGCCAGTTGCACAGACAAAGCCTCCGGCTGCTGACTTTGGCTCAAGCCGTGAGAAAAAGAGGGTTCAGCGCGCTGCTGCTGTGTTTTCACAAATACTGCGTGAAAGTGGCTGTGAGCTGGCTGTCCAGCTCCGTGCGGGGATAACACGCAAGGAGCTCGTTGGCCACGTAGCTCTCCGTCTTGGCGGAGGTGTAGTAAGCCGATAGGTCCACCGAGCCCGACGTGGCATCGGCGATGGCCTGATCTACTTCGGCCCTCGTGTGGAAATCCAGCAGAGCAGTTATTATCTTGCTGTCGACTTGACTGGATCATCATAACTCGACAGAGCGGAGCTGATGCTGGAGCTGACGGATGCAGTCGTGGCGTAGTTGGCCAGCCCACGTAGAACATCGGGGCAGAGCGCCAGACGCAGAACGATCGGATCTCTCGGGGCGTGATGCCTTGCTCCCGCCACTTGCTTCCGATACCGGTGATTGCGTCGAAGTCCGAGAGCACCTCCTGAAGCGGCAGCCGCATCAGCTCCGCGAGCTGCCGGGCGACGCAGAGCTTGTCCGGCCGTTGTTCGAAGGCGGACTCGAGGATCTCGTCGCCGCAAAACAGCTGGTAGGAGACGTCCCGCAGGTCCCCGAGGGGCTGGTCCAGGACGGTGTCCACCACCACCTGGTCGTCCACGACCTGCATGGCCTGCTGGCTGAAGGTCCACTCCCTCGTCGCGTCCAGGTAGTAGGTCGTCGGGATGATGTCGTTCGGCTCGGGATTCCCGAGCTGCGTGAGCACGGATGCCTTGAGGTTCTGGGCCGCTGGGCGTCCGAGAGCCCCTCGCTCTGCCGGGACAGGGCGCAGGCGCTTCGTGCGCTCGTAGGGCATGCCGCGGTTCCGGCCGTTTCGCCGGACGCCCCGAATGATGACGGGCACGTGCACCACCCAGTCCACCCACTTGTCCTTGAAGAAGCTCTTCCCGAGCTTGGTCAAGTGGTAGTTCCCGTTGGGCTGGAGGCTGCGGAGTAGCTTCTTGGCGCCGCCTCGGAGCATGATGTAGTCGTTGGGGCCCTCGCGGAAGTGTTCGGGGTTTTGTGGTTGCGACTCTAATGGCTCAAATTGCGGATTCCACAGATTTGTGGACCAAGGTGTCCCCGGGGGCCCCCACCCTTCAGATGAGGGGTTGGTTGCGGTCGTACTGCTGGCTGGGAGGCGGCCGGCCGATCAGTTGGTGGTAGTACTGGCCGGCCCTGGTGAGCTCGCCGTTCGGGCGGCTGAGCATCGCGTAGCGGAGGTGGTGGTGTGTCAAAGGGCGTGCCGCCGAGGTCCTCGCCCTGACCCCGGCCTCGGCTGCTAGTTTGATGGCTTGTCGTTGCTGAGCCCAGCTCATGGTGACTTGTTTGAACAACCCGCCCGGAAAAAAGGTCGTCCCCCGAGCGGGCCCCCCTTCGCCGGTCGAGCTTTCCGGGCCGATTCTACCGCGTGGCTTGCGAAGACGCTGTTGATCACGTCCCGCTTCTCCTGATACCTCTTCGTCCAGTGCGTGCACCCGCCGAGCACTTGGTATATTCGTCTCCTCCAGTATCGGCGCAGCGGCCTCACGCACTCGTGCACCACTTGAATGGCCGTCCGCCCCAAAAGTTCGAACGACAGGACCTCCAATTTCGGCCACCGGCGGCACCTCTTTTCCGCGACGGTCCGACTGCACGCGAAGACGTCGCGCGACTCGAACCAAGCCTGCGTCGGGCCCGAAGACAAGACCTTCTCGGCCAGAGAGACCCTCTCCGGTGGGGGCCTCTCCTGAGGCTCATAGGGCCTAGCGGGCAGCTGATAGAAGGCCACAATCATTTGACTCGCGGCCATTTCGGTCACTCCCAACTCCCGCGCCACCGTGTACAAACATGGGTTCTCGACCACGCTTTCGTCGTGCTTGATCGAGATGACCTTCTCCATCAAATTCGCTGGCTTGGGCTTGGGCTGCGGCTTGGGCCGGGGGTTCGCGAGGAACCGGTCCATGTTTTGAACAACCCACCCGGAAAAAAGGTCGTCCCCCGAGCGGGGCCCCCTTCGCTGGACGAGTCTTGTTGTACAGTTGTTGGCTCAAGTTCCTCCCCGTTGTACAGCGGCTTGTACAGTTTTTGGCTCAACTCTTGTGTACAGGTTCGGCTCAAGCCCTCCCTAAACCCCATACTCCCTAACCCCTAAACCTTATACGGCAGTTTTTTCGTTTGGCACGAGTCTTTCATGTTTCACTGCTCTGGAGCGAGCAGGCTTAGTCACTGCTCTGTGGCGAGCAGGCCTACTTCACTGCTCTGGAGCGAGCAGGCCTAAACAAACATTCCCCTTAAACCCTGCCCTAAACCCTAAAAACTCTGGCTTTTTGTCTTTTGCATGCTTGCTTGATTTTCGCATGTTTTTGGCATGTTTTTTTGGATTTTTTTGATGATTTTTGCTTGTGCCGCGCTCGCTCCCTCGAAGCATGAGTAGCAGTGGCAGCAGGCAACAGCAGCAACTCGTTTGGCAACAAAAGGACCTGGCAAGACGCACCGAGCGAAGACAGCAAGCACGCAAGCCCTGACACAGTGTTCGAACGCCGGGTGCGCAGAGGCTTCAGGGTTTTTTGGAGGTTGCAGGCAAGGGGGTCTGAGGCTGCGAGGTGTCTGCTGCAGTAGGTGTCAGGAGTGCCCTGCGCTGTCGCCCACCTGTAACCTAGAGTGTTGTGCGCGACCCCTCCCGTCCCGGGAACCCCGGGCCCCCTCCTGTGATCAGGTGCTGCTCGTCTCCATTGCTGGCAGCCGGGCTCCGCAGAGGCTTCAGGGTCGGTAGGGTTTCGGGTTGCCGAAGGCAATGAAGACGACAAGGCGAAAAGGGTTTGTCGCGGCGTGGTGTTCCTTGTGCTGTTCTGATGGCGTTTCCTTCGCTCCTGCCCGTTTCTGACCAGGGGCCTTTGGAACCTCGCGACAACAAAAGCAAGGCGAGAGTGGTTTGTCCTTTCGGTGTGTATGTGTGTGTGTGTGTGTGTGTGTGTTTGTGTGCGGGTGTGTTCGGATATCGCATCGAAAGCTGCTCGGCGGGAGCATCAGACGAATTTCGAGGAGCTTGAGGGATTGATTGCGAGCAGCACATGTAGGACTTCTCGGGATCAGTCCATGTTGGCAGGCCCCCAAAGAAAAGGATGACGTGGAAGAGGCCGATGCACTTTCAGGGAGCCCGTTCTTGATGGTGAGGGCTTCGCAGTTCTGTGTGGTTCCTGCAGGCCAAAGCAAGCTTCGATCAGGCGGGCTCCGCGAAGGCTCGCTGACCCTAGCATGTCTAAGGATGTGCCCCTTGCCGCAGGGTTCGCGAAACAAGGTAGTGGATGAGGCGCTTTGCGGTGTCTCCTGCTTAAGTGGTTTCTGTCCTTTCGGTGTGGTGGGGCCAGGGAGCTTCAGACGAATTCCGATGAGCTTGAGGGGTTGCTTATGCAGACCGCAGCCCCAGTCGAAGATGCCAAGCAGGCTGTGCTTCCGAGGGTGTTGTTGCTTGCTTGCCTTTCTTGTTGTGGGCTGCGTCTGAGCGGGCTCTTGGCACCCCTGCACCTGGCAGGATCTGGACGCGGCAAAACGATAGCGAGATGTGGCCCTCAGAGGGCTGGAAACGGCACAGGACCTGACTGCATACCTGCAGAAGGAGCTGCTGGAATTGGAAGACAGCAGCAGCGAGAAGGCCGATGAGATCGAAACGAAGAAGAAGTCACACGCTCCTTTCCTGCGCCCGAACCCCAGAAGTCGCAAGTCGCACCCTCCTTTCCCGCTCCCGACGCCCAGAAGTGACGCCCTTCTTTCCCGCTCCCGCTCCCGAGACTCAGAAGTCACAAGTCACGCCTTTCTCGAACCCTAGAAGTCACGCCTTTTTGTTTTCGGGGTTGCCTGTGCAGGACGGCCTTCGTGCGACAGCCATGTGCTCCGCATCGTGGCCCAGGACCCAGACCGCGAAAGTCTGGTGGAGGTCACGGTGTCACGGGGGTCAGGGGGGTCATGACACGGAGGGTTCACGCGGGTCGCGATGGGGGTCGGGGGTCACATAGATCACGGGGGCGAGGGGTCACGGGTGGCACGGGGTGATGGTCACGGGGGGCGGATCACGGAAGTCAATGGTCACGGGGTCACACTCGATTCAGGTTGTCGACAAAGCACTCTCACAACTGAGTTCGGCGTCACAACCCGCAAACAAACTCCTGCCGAGGTCGAAGAAGATCCGCATTGACGGCAGGGCCGATCTGCGACGTTGCGCTGGGCAAGCACGTCTGAGCCGAGGCCTCTGACACGCTGTGCGAAGAGATGCGGAGAGTGTCGCTGACATGCGCAACATAACATTCTGTTGTTTTGGGTCAACTGAAACAGGTTCCAGAGCGGAGCTCGATTCGCCGAGTGCTACTGCTCCAGCGGACAGCTAGAACCTACTGGCGCCATGGTACGCGTTGCAGCCGCATCGCGCAAGAAGAAGCCACTTTTCCGTTTGCTTTCGCTGATTGCAGTGTCCTGGGCGTGCTGGCCATAGCCTCAGACACACCCATATGCACACAAACCAGATCAGCTGTATATGTTCCCGAGCATCAGGCAGACAGCGCAGCCGTTGTGGGCTTTGGCTGGGCCAATTGTGAGGCCGGGCTTGAGCCGCAAAAATGTGAAACCTAGGCTTGGGCATGTTTTTGGGCGTGTTCTGGCAAGACCGACCCCCCGCGAAACTGTGAAACCTAGGCTGGGCATGTTTTTGAGCGTTTTTTCTGGGCGAGACCGACTCCCCTTCACAAAAATGTGAAACCTAGGCTTGGGCATTTTTTATGGGCAGTCTTGTGGCGAGACCGACCCAGGAATCCGCGCGAAAATGTGAAACTTAGGCTATGTGCATGTTGGCTTGATTTTGCCCGGGATCCCCGGGCCCTCTCTTGTGGCGAGGTGCTCATTGCGATCTTCGCCTTCGACATCTTCAAGCATATCGACAGGCAGGGTTTAGGGTGAGGTGTTTGCTTTTTGGGTTTCGGTGGGTTGCAAGATGAGCGGTTTTGTAGAGCGGCCTCAGCTAGAGTGTGTGCGCCTCCGCTCCTCTCCCAGAACCCCGGGCCCATCTCCTGTGGCCAGCTCCCAACTGTCAACTTCGTTCTCTTCGAGTGTCTCCTCGCCGAGCTCTTCAGGAGGCACGGCAAGCCGCCCATAGCACGCCGGACTGCAAGGGAGGCGCGCGGAGTGTGTGTCAGTTCCCGGACAGTGCAGGCGGAGGAGCCTTCGGGGGACGACGAAGATCAGGCCTGGTTTGTTTGTCCTTGCCGTGTGTGCTCGGATTTCGCTTCGAAAGCTGCTCGGCGGGATGTCGAGGAGCAAGCTGCCTCTGCGCAGACCACAGACTTGGTCGGAGATGCCACGAAGGCCTACACGGCGGCAAAATCACGGGAAAGCATCCCTGCACTTGGCAGGATCTGGCCGCAGCCCGACGATTGCAAAAAGTGGCCATCAATCAGCTGGAAACGGCACAGCAGGCGGTTGACACCCTGCAGAAGGTGTGGCTACAAGAACTGGAAGCTCGCGGCAACACCGAAGAGGCCAAGGAGGCCAAGCAGGAGCTAGAGAAGGCCAAGGAGGAGGTCGAGAAGGCCGAGCAGAAGTACACGGAAGCCCAGCAGAAGTACGAGGAGGCCCAAGCGAAGGTCCAGGCAGGACCAGCGCAGGCCGGGGGGCTTCTTCGCTTCTGCGTGTGCGGTTGTTGCTGTTGCCATTGGGTTGCAGCACTCCCGCGTGCGTTTTTCGTGCTGTCCGCCGTTTTTGCTTTTTTGGGGTCATGCTCTCCTCTCAGCAAGGGTCAGCTCGTCGTTAAGCTTCACTGTGTTGGCTTGCAGCACTTCGGGAGCGGGAGGGGCTTTTGGCTGCTGCAGGTTCAGGCAAATCTGGTCGCCCTTTGTGTTTTGCCGAGGCTTCAGAACGGGGTGTCAGTCCTAGGCTCGAGATGGGGGGGTCAGCCTGTTTTGCGCTCGCTTTGCGCTCTCCAGGTTGCGGTTGTTTTTGTTTTGAGGCTCGACTTTCAGGTTACTGTGTCCGTGAAGTGGGGGGGTCAAGGGAGTCAACCCTGGGTTCTTCGTGCCTGCCTCTAGCACGCGGATCTTGAAGAGCAGTGGGGTTCCGGCAAAACGAGTGCAGGCCGGGGGCTTCTGCGTGGGCATGTTGCCTAGCACTCCTGCCTGCCCGGGGCTCTTGGTCGTCGTGCGTTTTCGTGCGGTCCACCGTTGTTGCGTTTTGGGGTGCGGCTTTCCTCTCAAGATCTCCTTGTGGTTAAGCTGTCTCCACTGTGTTGGCTTCCAGCAGTTCGGGGGGAGCGGGAGGGGCTTTCGGAGCAGCGGGCTCCTGGCTGCTTCAGGTTTCACGCAAATCTGGTTGCACCTCGTGTTTTGCCGATGCTTCAGAACGGGGTGTCAGTCCTAGGCTCGAGGTGGGGGGGTCAGCCTGCTTTGCGCTCGCTTTGACCGGGTGTTGGTGCTAGCAGGGAGGCTCTGTGTTGCTCTCAGGCTGCAGTTGTTCTTGCCTATGAGGCTCAGGATACTGTATCTGTGCTTGCGTGCTTGGCCACCCTGCTGTCGCAGTGTCGTTGGTGTTGTTGTCTTTCTCGATGTGTCAGGGTCGGGCAGGGCCCGAGAAGTCCGCCAGCGTTTTGCAGGGCAGCAGGTCACAGGGCACCAGGTGGAAAGCTTCATGTCAGCTTGTGTCGATGCTCGGCTTTTGCACCAAGTGCGACTGCTTCTCTTTGATCTGTTATGAAGGGCCAGCGTTGCGCGCTTCACCGTGTTGGCTTGCAGCACTTCGGGGAGGGGCTTTCAAAGCAGAGGGCTCTTGGCTGCTTTGCCGATGCATCAGAACGGGGTGTCCAGGTTGCGGTTTTGCTTTTGTTTGAGGCTCGACGTTCAGGTTACTGTGTCCGTGTTTGCGGGGGGGTCAAGGACAACCCTGCGTTCTAGGTGCTTACCTTTAGCAGTGGGGTTCCGTCAAGACGAGTGCCGGCCGGGGGCATGTTGCCTTTGGCTTGTAGCACTCCTGCATGTCCGGGGCTCTTGGTCGTCGTGCGGTTTCGTGCGGTCCACCGTCGTTGCTTGCTTTCCTCTCAAGATCCCCTTATGGTTAAGCTGTCTCCACTGCGTTGGCTCGCAGCACTTCGGGGAGTGGGAGGGGCTTTCGGAGCAGAGGGCTCTCGGCTAAGCGGCTAAGCCTTGGAGGGCTGTCCTGTTTTTGTCTGCGTTAGTGCAGTGAGGCTCGAGGGGCAGCTGTTTTTGTCAGGCTCGACTTGCAGGGAAGCTTCCAGAGGAACAGTGCTAGAGTGCTAGAGGTCTATGGTAACTTTTTCCGGGTGTTTCAAAAGAGGCAGCCATCTTGGACAGGTGGAGCTGCTTGTGTCATTGCTTGCACTTGGCATGGTTTTCGGAGGTATCCGGAAGGTTCTTGGCCAGTTCAGCTTTGCAAGTGGCTGGACCCTGCAGGCGAAGGCAGCGCTAAGGGTCATCGAGGACCGGGTGAGAGCGCCTAGGGGAAACCTTGTGTTTCGCGTTCATGCTCCCATTCGCAGGAACAAGAACTCGATGACCTGTCTCAAGTGCGCGTCCCCGCAGCAAAGGTACAGGATGGACAGAGACTTGTGGGGATCGATGCTTGCGTGACAGCTTGCATGGGCTTGATCAATAAGTACATCAACCAAAGCGATGGGAATGTCACTAACCGCGTACCGCCCACCTGCGCGGCAAGATGTGCGCGAGGTGGGAAGACCACCTTCCTGCAAAAGCTTGGCGAGAAACTGGCCGGCGGGACGCAGTACTTCCCCATCTTTGTGTCCTTCAACGGGGAAAGCCCCGTCAAACGGCGGGACTACGAGCTAGCAGACGAGTGGCTGTACAGGACTATTGCGTATGCGCTGCTCCCGGCCGGCACGCTTCGTCACAATGTAGCAGCGAAATTCGGAAGGGTGACGTGCGAGGAGTCGACTTTGGAAAACTACTTCAAGTCCCAGAAGAACGTTGTTTTGCTCGTCGATGAGCTCAACCACCTGTTGCTGAAGAGCCCCGCCGAAGAGGAGAAGAAAGCAGAGCAGCGAGCCGCCCGCTTCATGAAAGATGTCTTCCTTGCCGCTGAAGGTGCCTATATGGTCTTCACCTCCCACATTCAGTCCACGGGGCTAGACCTGACCCAGTACATGGAGGGCGACTCCGTTAGGGGGCTGGAAATCACAGGCTTGCCATTTGCGGCTCAGCTCGGAGAGCTGCAGAACATGTCGACAGAACTCTCTGGCTTGACGCACATGAAAGCTGCCTACTACTCAAGAGTCCCAGCACTCCTGTGGTCCTCCCACGATGATGGGTCTCTGCTCTCACAAAAGTTGTCACAAATCCAGCAACACCCGAAAGAGCACCTTGCGGCCTTCTTGTCCGAGGTTTTCGAAGGCACCCCTGTGAAAGAGATGGAGGCTTTCAGGCAACTCACAGATGGCAGCCAAAAAGACAGAGTATTATGGATCCCATGCTTCATGTCGCACTTCCTCGTCCAATGTAAAATTGCCTGGCCTGCCTGTGGTGTTCTTGGACGGTGGCTGCAAGGCATGCAAGCTGCAGAGGAGAAGGATGGAAAGGCGTGGGAGAAGATCATCGCGGTTGCCTTCGGCTTGCGCTACATTTGGCGGCAGATGGGCGGCGACGAGCACGGATGGCTGCATGGGCATGAAGGGGCAGCAATCGAGTGTTTGGATGCCAACCCAGCGGCGAAGACTGTCGAGGCCGCAATTCAGCAGCTGCCACAACCATTGCAGTACCCAACCCTGCAGCTGGTTCTCCCGAGCCACGCACAGTTCGAGGCAGTAGACTTGTTCGCTGTGAGGAGAGAGGCAGACAGTACTGACTTAGTCATGGTGGCGCAGCAGAAGGAAGGTGGCGCCAGTGTAAGCAACCACCCATGTACACAGACTGCGAATGCTTACTGGATGAGAGGATCGTCGACGCAAAACGCAAAGACGAAACATGGATGGTTCCTGCCCTCGCAAAGCGAGATTGACACGTTCTTGGGACCCTCCTTGGCAGCTGCAGCACCAGCCACCTGGCGGGATCCGGTAGACTAGCAGCACAGGCTGGCCGCGAGAACGGTTTTGCTTCTGATGTTGCCTCTCCCCTGGCTGTTTCTCTCGTGACGTCTCACCACGCATTCCTTCGAGGCCCTTGTGCAAAGTCCGCATGTATTACTGAGATGCTGCGCTTCAACGCAGTACCTCAATACCCAAGCCCGACCATGTCTTCCCCGAACACCTCGCAGGCAATGTAGCGGAGATTTTTGCACACAAGAGTCGCGACGATTAGGGGAAGGCATATGTTACGGGGATCACGGGTGTCACGCCAGGCAGCGAGCCAGTTCCCCGCCTGAGCCTCAGACATGCCCTGGAGCCAGCTGGGTTGAGTCCAAACTAGTTCAGCCCGACACCTTAAAGCATGCGGGTGAGCCCGAACCCCTAAAGCCTGCCTCCAGTTGAGCCCCAAACCTGAAAGCACACGGTTGAGCCCGAAACCCTTGAAAGCACCTGCCGAGGTTGTGGCCTTCTGAATGCTTGCTTGAGATTCTCACCCGGAAGCTGCTTGCTTCTGTGGATGCAGGTCCTCCTTCATGAAGTTGGTAATGCTCCAATTGTCGGGAGACTGGCCAGTTGAAAATTCTTTGCAGAAAGACGAGAAGTCTGTTCGAGCCTTTCGTGTCTGGCAGTTGAGCCCGAAACCCTAAAGCTTGGGTCGAGCTTGTATGGGAAACCGGATTAAATTAGCGTGAGCCTGTGGTGAGAAGGAGATCGAACGTCTCGGGGTGCCGTTTTCGCGCTGCACAGTTTACGGTCAGAGCTGGCCGGACGTTCTGTGTGGCGCAGGTCTTACCCCGAGATGCAGATCCGACGCACCGGATCAAAACATCAGAGGTCCGTTTCAGCGAAGCTTGCAAGTGCAGCTGTTTCCCTGAAGTTTATTCCTGAACGTATTGGACCTGAACCTGAGCGCTCGTTCATGCTCGTTTTTGTTGCTCGTGGTGCTCATGTCAAGGTTCAGGGTTATAGGGTGGCCTGGGCGCATGGAGGGGACTCAGAGAGCGATTTTGTTACGGAGCTGGGGGCTCAGAAGCGCATTTTTGTTACGGGAACTGGGGGCTCAGAAGCGCCAGAGTTTCCCCAAAGCCGCACTTCGGTGAGGCCGAGCTGGCAAACTCCGACTCCGCCAGGCCGCATCATGGCCCAAAAGATTTTACATGGATTTTGCGCGCACTTTCGGGCGTTCTAAAAGCCAGCTCTGAGCCCTCTAGACCCCATTCTGGCGCGGGGTCCGGTCGAATCAGAGAAGAAGGACTTACCCCATCAACGAAACAGCCAGAGACTACGCTGAAACAAAACGCGGTTTGGAAAACCAGATATAAGAGAGAGCTGTGCGGACCAAAACGGTCTCTTTGCGCGTACTGTTGTCGTTCTCTTCTCCTTTAACCCTCCGGGTTTTCAGAAAGTTTTGAGCCTCCTCGGTACAAGTCTAGTTTGGGTAGCGAAGCGGACCAAACAGTTTGTTCCAAGGAGGCCCGGGGAGGAGAAGGGGAACAATGGGAGCTTGCGACCACTTTCAGTTCTGTGCGTCTCAGCCATCGTGCTTCGGTCCGCGGCCTGCATGCAGTTGCTTTCAGTCAGGTCAGTTATGTCAGTCATGTCACTGTCAGTTGCTTGCAGTTTTCAGTTTCCCTTGCACACGATGCATTTCAGTTTTCCCTTTTGCGAAACATTCATGTGAGGACGATTTTGAAGAAGTTTTATCTTTGAACACTCCTCCTCAAAGGAGGTATTTTCCAACTCTTTGATTTATCATTTCAGTCGTTTGTGATTTCATGTTATTTGAGTTGCGGGCGACTCGCCCCATGTCAAATCGATGATACAGCCGATACATTCTGGATCAACCGGAAGGGGACTTTTAGTCCTTTTAGTGTCCCACCCGGCCCACCCTGTATATTTTTTCCCATAAGGTCTGTTTATAACAGCCCAATCTGGAATGCGGGGGGCAGATCCCTCTCGTCATCTCCTGTATGCAGGTTTCATGTGCACTGTGTGATATCGGGCTGTGCGGACCAAAACGAAGTCTCTTTGCGCGTACTGTTGTCGTTCCCTGTTCCTCAAACCCTCTCCTTAAACCCTCTGGGTTTTAAGAAAGTTTTGAGCCTCCTAGGTACAAGTAACAAAAGTTTCTGGCACAATACTCTGTAGCGGCGCACGCCACTCGCCGGACGAATGACTGCGATCTCCAAATGCCAAAAGGCAAGCGTTGATTTTCCGAACCACTCCAGAGGAGCATACCGAAAAATGACTTGCCGAACTCTCTCCTTAAACCTTAAGCCCTGAGTTCGTCACTTCTCGCAACCACCCTTCTCGAGATAACCCTATACTCTAGATCTTAACCAGGCTAAGCATGGCTCTAAAGACAAATCATCAGTTGGATGAGTCCATCGGAAACACCCCTACGACTGGGTGTTGGCGGGCTTGGGGATATGAAGTGGGCTTGGGTGGCGGCTGGCGTCTTCCCGCATAGTTTTGCCGAACAACGTCTTCTCCTGGACGTTGTTTCGACATTGAGCTGTTGTCCGATTTGACGGGCCAATTTTCGAGACCGAACAACCCTTCGAAAACGTGTGCGCCACAAAGGGCCTCCTCTGTATCACTTACATATGGCATTCCACTAAAGGTGGAGTCTGTGGACATCACTCGGAAACCTTTTCTTGATTTGTCAAATCTTCAGACGCAAAGTTCTTTTCTTGAGCGGATTCGGGCCGCGTGCCACTTTGCTGTGGTTCTTAGCCCACCCTGCTCTACCTTTAGCAGGGCACCTTGGTGCAACCGCAAAGGTCCGCGGCCTGTAAGGTCATTTGAACATCCTGATGGGTTCCCGCATCTGCGCTGGGCCGAACGACGCAAGGCACGTGTGGGCAACAACCTCGCCGATTTCTCCTTGCAGGTTGCCGCTGCCACGTTGGACCTGGAACACTCCTTTCTTCTGCTAGAGCAACCGGAGGACTTGGGTGCAGTGGCCCAAGGTTCTCGCCCTCGTCGATGTGGGAGTGGCCTTTGTTTGACGCTATCAAACATCACGCGGCAGCTCGACATGTGGCTTTTCATCAGGCCGAGTTCGGTACTCCGCATGCGAAACCTACTCGCCTCCTTCTCCGCACGTCGCAGCCGCTTCACGCTTCTATGAGTTTGGGTCTCCCGCACTTCGATCAGGCTGGATTTTATCAGGGGCCGCTGGCTAGGCACCCCACTGCTGCGTCCATGCAACATCGACGACCGGCACCCTTCAGCACCACAGGCACTGAGCAGTGGCCCGGGCCTTTCTGTCGGTGGGTCGCACACTGCATCCTCTCCGACTTCGGCTCTATACTGCTGGTGATGGGGGTGAGAGAAAGGCTGAGCCGGGTGGCGGAGATGATCGCGACAGAGGAAGAGATCATGGATGAGGGAAACATCTTCCGATTTGAACCTGTGATTCACTCTGGGAGCTCTGGGGACCATGACAAGCTGGGGCATCTGGAGACTCGATCGAGCGCTGGGATTCCTCAGGCGGGGTTATGTCACGGAGTAGGACCTACTGCTGCTTTCGGAGCAACTTCCGGATGAGACAAGGATTCGGGAATCGGCAACCAAGGTGGAGGGTCAGCATTCCTTCACCACGGGAGCCTTCATTCACCAAGATGTTGCGGGATTGAGGCGGAACCTCAGGACCTACAAGTGGATCAGCGAGTTGCTGGCGAGGGTTATGTCCTCTTCTTTGCCGGGGAGAAGTTTTACTTCTTTAGCGCTGTTCAGGGATCTGACGCAACCGCTTCACCGGGACTCGAAGAACGGGCTGGAAGAGAATCTGCTCTTGGCATGCTCCTCTTTCCGGGATGGAGGACTGTGGGTTCAACACGAAGGGGTCCCAGTCAAGAGACGGATCTTCGGCAAGGAGGTGGACGGAGAGATTCTGGAAGTGAAAAAGGGGCGGATCACTTTGATGCTTATCGCTGGCACACTACGGAGGACTGGATGGGGACACGACTGGTTCTGGTGGGCTAGACGAGAAATCCTCGTGGAGCGCAGATTTGGCTTTTGGCAGCCCAGGCCGCCTCGTCTGGAACCGGAATTGGATCCTACCTGGCCGCCGAATCCGGGTGGCGATGGGCCGGCGGCAGGCGCGGGTCTGTCAGGAGGTCTGGGGAAGCCGACCCTTTCACGACGGGGCGGGACTGTGCTCCGATGTCTGGAAAAACTGCGAGGCCTCTGGCTGTGCGGAACTTCGAAGGGAGCTGGATGCGGGGGGATCGGAGAAGCTGGACAGAGTCTCTTTCGAGATGGGGCAGCGAAGGGGGAGGATGGATGTCGCCTGGTGTCGGATCCCGCCCTGCATGAGAAAATCCAGAAAGCTTTGACCAATCATCTGGAAAGAAAATCACCGGGTCTGGAGGACTTGAACTTCGTGGATCCAGGGCAGCCCTTCCGGCTGCGACTTATATCGGCGTTGCTTCGAGATGCCTGGACCCGGATTGGAAGGTTTTCTTGGACGGGATTGAAGGCTTTCCGGTGGGTGTCAAGCATGCTCTTCCGAGAACCAGGGATGTCTTTGAGCCCAAACGAAGTGGAAGCTCGAGATGGGTCCGCTTGATGTGGCGCGATCCTGGAAGGCTAACTACGAGTCGGCGGAGGAGAACCTCAGATTCGTACGCGAGCACTTTGAGGCTGAGGTCGAAGAAGGGTTCATGATCCGACTGAACGAGGAGGCTTTCTGGAGGCATTATGGAGATGAGGCTGCGGTCTCGGCGATCGCGGTGATCGTCGAAGAGGGTCCTCCGGTCAAGAAACGCGTGGTGGCGTGGTGCATGACGCATCTCATGATGTCCTCCTTAATCATTGAATACGCTGTCTTGACAAAGTGCGATCTCCAGGAGCCAGGGAGAAGCGCTACCTCCTCAGGAAGCTCCGAGAGGGGCGGATGGCACCGATGGCTGTCACCGGGGACATTGCCAAGGCTCACCGCAGATTCAAGCACCGGAAGGATGAGTGGGGTTTCTTGGGCTGCAAGGCTTCGTCTGGAGATGCTGTGATATACTTGAACTGCGTTGGAACATTCGGAGTGGCCAGTGCTGGTTATTGGTGGGCGAGAATCTCGGGGGGCTCCATTCGCTTGATACATCATCTGACGGGGAGACGAGCGCTGAAGATATTGCTTTATGCCGACGATGTCGAAATGATTGGAGGAGACCGATCGGGCAGGCGCGGCATTGTATTGGCTTACGCTCTTCTGGCATGCCTTGGTTTTCCTTTCAAATGGATCAAAACAAAGGGCGGGCTCAACGTCCAGTGGGTCGGCTATGAAACATCATATGCTGCTTTGGGGCAAACGCCCTTTCGTGGGAGAGGCCGTTTCTGGGGCCTCTCTACTCGTGGTCATCGGCGACTCGTGGGAGAAAGGGAGCCCTTAGGCTCCCGACTATGTTGAGGTCCATCCTCAGCTGGATGTCGGGCCGTTTCAAGTCTGGTGACAGACTTCAGGCGCCCATTCCGCTTGCGGTGACGCCGGCCAGTGCTCAGCTTTCCTTTTTCTCGGATGTCAAGGCGGAGGAGGGGCAAGCTTGGATTGGGGGATATCTCTGGGATGGGCACACTGCTCTCCAGTGGTACGCCTGGGAGGTCTTGGAGGAATGGGCGCCTTGGGCTTTCTTCAAGAAGGATCTTAAACGGTCTATTGCTAGTCTCGAGCTGCTGGGGACCTTGATCTGCGTTAAGCTTTGGGGGCAAAGGATGAGGGCATCGGGTCGTGGCATGGGCTACGCGGCTACATCACAGGCGGGACTGACAATCAAGGCAATTCTTACACTGTTGCCAAATTGATGTCCACAAAGTTTCCGATGCCACTTTTGCTTATGGAATTGTCCGAGACTCTGAGAAGGAATGAACAGTTCCTGGATCTCAGTTGGGTGCCGAGGGAGCAGAATCAGTGGGCTGATGATTTGACGAATCTTAAGTTACAGTTTGATCGTTTACACCCGGAGAGGAGGCTGACCTTGGATGGGCCCCAGATCGATTGGATTGTTCTGGACTCACTTCTTAAATCTGCTTCGGATTTCCACAGGGAGTTGATCGAGGCGAAAGAATCCTCGAAGAGGCCGGTGGGGAACCCATCAGGCGGGGAAAGGAGCCGAAAGAAACATCGATTAAAATGGTGATGCCATTCGGCTACGGCTTTGCATGGGGTGATTGGCATATGCACGGCGATACTCGTTGGATGTTGTGTTCGCCGAAGGCGCTACAACTCGGTGGTGCGTATGCCCTTCGCCGAATGGGAAATCCGCTCCGATCTTTCGATCACAAAAAGAGTGGATGCAAGCGTGAGTCCGTTGCATGTCAGTCATGAGAGCCTGAGCATATTTTCGGGAAATATATTGGATAGCTTTTTGCGACATAACCATTTATATGATTCGCGAATGCGAGAACCTCTTTCTCGGATTTTTAACAGCTTTGCCATCGTTTATAGTGGTTGGCCTGAAAGGGGTGGTGGTGGGATGGGTTTGACTTGCACGCACAGTTCGGTCCCAACTGGCACAGATTCAGCCTTGGGGATTTAGGGCCGGGGCTTGGGAAGGGGGAAGGGATGGGGGCAGGTTTTCGTTCAGGCTTTTGGGGTTCGGGCCAGGTTGGAGATACAGTTCTGGGCAGCACTCTATTGGCGGTCCCTATTGTGACAGGGTTCCCTCGTTCCGTTCTAGCAATGCTGCCAGCTTGTATATAACAGTCCGAAGAGGAACCGGGCGCAAGTTTGAAAGCTTAGAGTTCAATTGTTTAGAGTTGCATCGTTGCAGGTACGTAGGCCGTCGTGCAACGGATCTGAAGCAAAACATTCCGTCGCGGGCTGCTCTCGAGGCAACAGAACCATGACAAAGAGTGAAGGAGCACAGAGCAAACTTGTTGACACCATCAGAAAAGAAATAATCGTAAGAATCGTAGCCATAGTACTAACAGTAACAATAATAGTAATGTACTGATAAGAATATGAGTAATGCCAGTAACGATAGTAATACTAGTAACAATATCAACCCAAGCCGAAGATCCGCACTTCCCCTGGGTTTGTAGCCGGGACCATGCCGGATCCAAGACCTCAGCCCTTGCCAAACGTCGGTGATGCGAGCATCACGGAGGACAGGGGCTTAGGGTTTAGGGTTTAGGGCGACATCCAGGCGGGCATATACAAGTCTGTGCAAAAGGGTTTCATGCTAACTAAGGTTTTGGGCGCTTCAAGCTAACAGGCACACTAGCTGCCGCCTTACGCTGGTTTGGATGTTGTGCCGAAGAGCTCTGACCAGTAGGGTTTCCAGCTTGACGCCCGGCTGTTGCATGTGTCTACCTTGGACTTCATCCTTCTTCATCACAGGTTGGATGGAGGGCCTCGAACAGTGCAAGCTGCACTGCGGAGCTGCATGAGACAGTTCCCCAATCCACCCCAGATTTTTGCGCGCTGAAAAGTTGATTCAGATATGCAAGTTTTAGCTGCATGCCCGCGTAAACGAACACTTCCACATACATACATGGACATGCAGGTTTGCACGTGGGATGAGGATTAGGAAGATGAGGATGCGGATGGTGAGAAGGATGACGGGAATGATGGTGGTGACGATGGTTGTTGGTGTTCGAGGATTAATATTGGGGCCTCAATAATTATCATACTATTTTGGGGGTTCCTTATTATACATTATATTTATGGTATAATGGGCACAAAACCCTATTCTAATTATCAAGGCCCCTATTTTATTATTGTCGAAAGTCCCCTTCTTGTGGGCGGCTGGCTGATGAAGCGGGGTCGTGCATGTAAGACAGAAGCCTGAATACTGACCTGAATGATTCCTTAGAGTTCCTCATTACAACTATACGGCAATGTGACCCCCGGAGCCTTCCCCAATTATTTATCAAGGCCCCTATGGTAATCCTGAAAGGACTTAGGGCCCCAGGTCTGGTCCTACGCGCCTTGAATTGCGCAAAACCCTATTCTTTAACGATAAAGACCCCCATTTCACCATTGGAGGACGAGGCAGGGGAGGGCGGGCCGCTGATCGGAGCCAAGACCCAGGCTGGGGCGGTCTTGGTCTCTTTAGGAATATTCCAACGGGTTCAGGGTAGGGTTACTGCCACGAGTGCAGCGGCTTTGACATCCGACATCCAGGCGGGCATATACAAGCAGGTGCAAAAGGGTTCAGGGGTGCCAACTACCAGGCGTCCTTGCGCGCAAGCCTGCAGCAAGAAGGGTTCAGGGGTTTAAGTTTGTGTAAGTACAAATACGAAAAATAAGCTCTTGAATTAAGAGACGAAGGAGTCATATCAATGAAGATCTTCGACTCTTTTTTCTGTGGTGTGATGCTTCACAGAGTCGAACTTCGGATCCTGGAGATTTTGCCTGCCTTTCTGGTCCATGTGCCAGACCCTAGATTGTAGACGGAGCGGTTTAGGTTGCCGGAGCCGTTTGGTACCTGGAACCGGAACAGCCGCGAGGTGAAGACCGTGGATGAGGTGGATGTTCTGACGGTGCAGGAGAGTCGCCAGCGCTCGAGGCTTAAACGTGATCGCGCGGGAGATGTATCACTGCAGCACTGTCTTTCGATCATGTGCTTCTGGTTTGGACAGCCTAGGAAACTGCTTCTGCCTGCTCGCCGGAATCTTTTGCGGCATCACCATTTTTGTTGCCGGCACCCTCTGGGAGAAGCGCAGTTCCAGTGTTGGATCAATACTGTCGGTTTCCGGTGGCGAGAAAACTGTGCCCTCTCCCGATGCTTTGCAACAACCTGCTACAATCCCAGGCGCTGGAGCCCCTCATGCCCAAGACCTGCAGCCTCTCGTCACTACTCAGCTTTCGACCACAATCCCGACTCCTGCCTTTAGACCTGCAACAACCCGGCCTGCGGTGACGACGACGCCGGCAGCGACGGCAGCGACGACGCCGGGGCTGCCTCTTCCAACGCCAACAAAGCATGGCTTGTTCTCGGCTGGCGACTACAGGTATCCCCATGATCCCAGCAGCTCTGCGTTTAACGCGAAGGCCATGGAATGCCTCAGACAGACGAACCCCGACCTCCAGCGCTTTGAGTATCCTGCTGATGCTGAAGAGCATTTCGAAGAGCTGAATCGAACAATGAGCCAGTTCACCAAAGGGGTGAAACCGCTCTGCGGCCAAATCTCCGCTGGCTACTGCGGTCCATGGCTGGAGAACTACTGGATCTGGGAATTCAGCGCCACATGGAAGAACCGCAAGAATGGAACACGGCTTCGGGATATCTTCGGGCCGTATATTCCAATCATCTTTCCTTTCCTCGATATCTTTGTTCCACATAAATTTCGGTACCCGGAAGGCACCCTTGAAACTCTGAACCAAACATTAAGGCCCAATGTGCTGTACCTAGCAGTATCTCAGAACGACGATGGCATCTTTGGCCATCCAGACCGGAAACTCGCATTCAGGCAGACGGACTTCCCAAATATGCTGGTGCTGAGTGCAGGTGGCTACGGCCATGTCCCCTTGCCACTATTCAAGCAGATTGAAGCGCCAGTTCAAGCAGCTCCAATACCAGAGAGGACTTACGCGGTTTCCTTCATGGGCTCAATAAATCACGGACCAAAGGGAACCCGGTCAGTCATGAAGGCCATGGCAGAAAGATGGGGCAAGCTGAGGAATAAGACAGTGAAGATAGGTTTCGGCAAAGACTGGAAGGAGGTCATGACGAATACGACCCTGAATCTCTCTCCCCGTGGTTTCGGACGGAATGCTTACCGGACAGAGGAGCTGTTTCAGATGGGTTTTATCCCAGTCTACATCCATGAGAAGGGGCCGTGGCTCTTCTACCGAGATCTTTGGACCGAGGAGAAAATCGGCTTCTTCTCCACACCTGGCGGTTTGGAGTCCACCTTGGATCGCGCTTTATCTGATATGCCAAAGCTCATGGACATGGAGAGACGAATCCGGGCCATGCGAGACACTCACTTTATGCCCTTGGGGGTGATGGACCAGATCTCGAAGTTCATGACAGAGCGGGACGGCGGTGGCGACTTGAGGTGTGAACCTTTGCCGGACAGCGTCCTATGAGAGTCGCGGATACACTCTAAAAGGGTTCATTCCCCGTGGGATTTTCGGACTTGATGTGTGGTGATGCTTAGTTTCACTTCCAGGTAACAGGATCATTTGGGATTGACCTGCATGCCCCACCACGTGAAGGCTGTCTATGCTTAGCCTAACTGAAATAGGTCTGACAAATTAGAAACGTTATCCCTGTATAGTTCAGTTAAAGATATATTGATGCAACAGACGACACCCCAAAGCCCTATTCTACTTAGTTCTGCTTGTCAAAGGCCCCTATGTCACAATTTAGCGAACTCCGGATCTTGAGTCTTGCCTCACGGAATTCAGCCCCCCCCCCACTCGCTTCTGCATCAGGCTTGGGCAAACCATGCTGAAAGGGACCCTTTCGAGTTGTTGTTAGTACATATTATATCATCATGTTTCGTTATTATTATGACGACTCCCGCATATTGTGGTTATTTGTCGGGCATGTTGCTCCCTGCCAGAGTTCAACCTTTTCTTGGCTGGGGTCCCTAGGGTATTCAGCCCCTGTGAGAAAGGGACCCAGCGGATGTGTTGCGCACGCGCCGGCTTAGCTGGAGGTAGAAGCTGCCAAGTGCAAGAGCACAGCATCATTATAAATCCCAAACCGAACACTAAAGCCGAGCGAAATACTGGAGACAACTGGAGTCCACGTTTACCTGAGCAACCTCTGCCTTTTTGCTATGCTAGACCCATGTGGTGTTGTCATATCGATGTCCAAGATATCAGGCTTAGGCTTGGGAGCCCGCTAGAGAACCGTACAGGCACCCGGAGCCCTAATGCCGTAAGGCCCTATAGTCACGTCGAAACCCTAAATCTTACACTCTACTGCCCAACACCCATAAACCGAAAGCTCTGAAGCTCTTGCTCCTGAACCCTGGGAGTCTCGGAACGGCGGCCCGAATCCCTAAAGGCCGCACCCGAGATCAAGGCTTCTCCTAACAGGAATCATGATTCCAACACCATAGAGTTCTAAAGACCTGAATCGTAGAAACCAAGCCAGTTCCACGCAGAACTACAAAGTGCCCTGACCAGCACATCAGCCATGTCTCCTGAGCGTGCTGGCAGACTGCTAAACCGATGGTGTTTGTGCACTACTAGTAGCATCACATACATGTGCTTTGCATGGTTGGCAGTGCAAAGAGGACCGACAGCATTCCCTCAAATCATTCGCGATCGACGGATTGACAGTGGCATTGCAGCCATACTGATCCAGCGCGACGCGCCGAACTCGACGGCGACATTTGCAGGGCCTCCTTCGACATCAGCGTCCTTCTCGATGGCTGCATCTGCAGTTCCTTCGACATCGGCGTCCTCCTCGATGGCTGCATCTGCAGTTCCTTCGACATCGGCGTCCTCCTCGACGGCCAAATCTGCAGTGGTTCCTTCGACGTCGGCATCCTCCTCGACGACCACATCTGCAGTGGTTCCGTCGACATCGGTGTCCTCCTCGACGGCCGGATCTGCAGTGGTTTCTTCGACATCGGCGTCCCCCTCGACGGCCGTCAATGCGGAGATTGCATCAAGTATTGCGTTGGTCAGAAGTGCAGTGCAGTGTCCCTCCAGCGTCGGCGTGGGAAAATGGTTTGGTCGGCTCGGCAACCAGCTTGTGCAGATTGGCAATATTTTCGTTTTTGCGCAACTGTGCCACGTGCGCAACCTCGAGTTCCCACCCCCGAAAAAGTACGGCTGGGGTTGCGACATTCTGAGCATACCCCGGAAGGTGGTACTACGCTACCAAGATTACTCAGAAAACTTCACGATACCGACGGGTTGTCCTACGGAAAAGTATCTTTTCCGTAGTAATTGGCATGAGGGCCGCTGCCAAAAGATTATCCCAATGTGGTTTTTTCATAAGACGCTCGTTGAACATGGGCGCCCTTTTTTGGGCCACTGCGTCCAGAGCTGCCTCCAGAGGCCCAGGGAGGCCTTCGAGGACAATATGTTGACCATACACCTCCGTGGCGACGATGTTTACGGGGACATCAGATACTTCTCTAGCCAACCGCCCTGCGCGATGTACCAAAAGATCATCGAGCAGAACAACTTCACAAGCATCCTCGTCATCAAAGCCGGGAAGACATCTTGTGGGCAGTTCCTCGCAGAGTATGGGGAAAGGCAGAATCTCACTGTCCGCTACTCCAGCATCGAGAGACAGACTGAAGGATGGCCCGCTCCAGATATCACCGAGACAGAAGACCAAGTACACCAGCGGGCTGCTATCAAATTTCTAGCTGAGGATTATTGCCAGTTGATGCGGGCCAGGCACCTTGTGCTCTCCTTCTCGACTTTTGCTTTGACAGCTGCCCTGATGAGTCCCAACCTGGAGATTGTGTACTACAGGTCAAGTCCGCTTTGGAAAGGCTGGCTGAGACTCCCGGAGAACGTCTCGGTGTGGCGAGGCGTTGAAGTGTTCGAGTACACGGTCCGTGCGCAGCCATCAGGCAACGTGGAAACGCAGGAAAAGTGGCTGAGAAACATGGTTGTCGAGGATGTGTTGGGGCCTAAAACTTACAACAACAGTGAGTGGCAGAGGGACCAAACCGCCGATTTTCGTTTCCCGTAGGGCCGGCAAAATTGCAGAGCAGACTGACTGCGAATTTCTTGATCTGGGATCCTTGCAATCACTTTGTTTGTTTGCGGCTTATTCTCAGATCAGTTTGAGGACTATATAGGTCACCGAATCTCTGCTCACATGCTGGCGCCCGTGCAGAACAACGCGCAAGAAATGCCTGCACGAGCGTCAGCTCCATTACCTCAGCTCTGCGGCCAAAAAATACAGCGACGGTTTGGTATCAATGTTCAGCTCTTACACACATACCCATACATTTAGCCGAGGTGGATTGCTGGACAGCATCGTCAATGAGGACGGCCAGTGGATGTGCCCTGGCCCTTATCTCCGGGGTGACATGCATGGCGCTGTGGTTTGGGGTGTGTGGTTCATAGTCGTCGTTTATGGGAGCTTCCAGAAACAAGGGGTGCCTCGTGCACGAGTCTTTATCAGAGGGCTCCGACAACGAGGCTCTATGTTGAGGTCATTCAGGTTCTGAAACTCCCCAGTTTAAACCACAAGCGCTAGACTCAATCGACCAGGAACCTGAACCCCTAAACCCTAAACCAAGAGTCTTCGAAACTTGGAAACTTTGAAACCTTAGCCTTTCATCCTAAAACTCGAGACTCCAAACCCACGCCCTCCTGAGCCCTGCAGCCGCAGAACTACCTACACCATTACCTTAGGGTTCAGTTAAAGGCAGTACTTTAGGGTTCCTTTTAAAGGGGCCTGAACGGGTTACTATAAGGTATTAAGAGGTGTTGTTTTGCTACATCATACAAATAATCACTTTGGGATTCCTTTTCAAGGGGGTCTGTAAGGGTTTAGTTTAGATAGAAGCCTAGATCACTACCAGTCATATTCCTAGGGTTCCTCATTATACTACAGAGGAGTCCCAAACGAACCCTTATACTAGCCCTTTGGGAACCGTTTACGGGAACCTAATTCACCGAAACAAACAAATCGAGATTCTGCTGATTAAGCCCCCTACAATAGGGGTTTCACAACAAGGAACCCTAAACCATAAGGAGTTTCACAGCAAGGAATCCTAAACCCTAAAACCTAAACCCCAAGCCCTAAACCCTGAGCCCTCTACAATAGGGGTTTCATAACAGGGATCCCGACAGTTCTAGTTCTCACGGGTCACAGCTGGATCTTCCTACCCAAACCTTATATAGGTCAGTGGTCTCTTTTCTTGGGGTTTCTGGTTTCAAGAGGCTCTACATAGGGATCCTTATTCCACCTGCAACAGTATTAGGAGCAGATAAAGGGTGGTCTCTTTACGGTTTCTGTTTCGGGGGGCTGTATATGGGGATCCTTATTGCGTACTCTATATACGGGCGCCTATGCTTGGCAGTATCAGGAACAGGTAAAGAGCCACCAGCCTACGGACTCATTAGTTCACGGCTTCGGGACGTAAAGACCATTCTAGTATGAGCCACTTTGAGGTTTGAACCAGCCTCTCAACACCAGATTGCGAAACCCAGGTCCACACAAACAAGACCCGCCGAAGAAATCGCACAAAGCTAAAGAATGTCGCAATCCCCGAAACAAGGGTCGATGCTGGAATCAGGCCATTGGGTTGAAGCTTTTGGGCTTCAGGGTGTTTGACCTTGGGTTTAGTGTCTTAGCGTTTGCCGAGTTGAGGCCACAATCTTCGTAAAGACTTTTCCATCGCCCTAAGATATTCTACATCGGGACCCTTCTTCTGGCCTCTGCTGCCGGAAACAACTACAGGTGTCTTGTGGTGTATCAAGTCCGGGGTGGGCTCCGGTACACCGGATCTTCGACGTAAGAGGCTCTAAGAACTTCTCACAAACGCAGGCGCCAGGATCGACCCTGAGAGTGATCAGAGCGTTTGCGTGTGAAAGGGTCGCCCCAAGCGCGTCCTGCATCCAAACTGGCTTGAAGCCCCTTTTTAACGCACCATGAGAGCAACTTCGATGTCCAAGTAAACCTTGCAGCTTTGCTTGTCTCAACCGTATAATCGCCCCAAACCCAAAGTTGCCAGCTTTAAACCTTAAACCTTGAGCCCATGAACCCTGAACCCGAAGACCTTTGACTGCAAAGCCCGAAACTGAAGAGAACTGAAGCTGTGTCTTTCAAGATTCGATGAACACCAGTGTGCCTTAATCTGGGTAGTCCTTAAAAGATGGATCTCATTACTTGGGGCTCTAATTACTGAACCCTAATGTAGGGACATTATTAAGAATAGGGCGTTTGAAACCATTATACTATGTGTATATATAAATAGATAGATAGATCGATAGATATATGCATATATATATAATGGGGAATTCCCAAGATGGTATTGGTAATGATTGAGGTCCCGATATTACTCTGAAACTCCCCGGTGATCTCTTTCCCAAGGCTCGCCTTCCGGGGCGCCTTCGTCGGGCGGCGTCTTCGGAACTGCGAGATGCGACTCGGAGCC